TCTTTCATGTATCTATGTTACGCAAGTACGTGTGCGACCCCGATCATGTCATTCCTTACACTGATATTGAGATTCATCCAGACTTATCTTACGAGGAGCGACCGGTAGCTGTGTTGGATCGACAGGTTCGACGACTCCGGAAGCGTAATGTTCCCCTCGTTCGTATTCAGTGGGATCGCCACGGAGCCACTTGGGAGCAAGAGGCTGACATTCGCGCTCGTTTTCCCTATTTTCAGTTTTGATGTATATAACTTTCATATATATATATATATATATATATATGTTTAGCTTTATATTTCCGAGGACGGAAATATTTTAAGGGGGGTAGATTGTAATAACCCAACTTCTTGTTAATAAAAATGATGTATTATCTTTTATTAATTTCATTCATTTTCAGCGAATACGTTCGACGTTAAGTCGAAAATTCAATTCGGTTAATTATTAACCGAGTTAAAATCGATAATTAATTTTCGAACCGTTTATTTTATAAACGGACATCGTTAATCGGGATTAATTATTAATAGTTAAGAATGTTCGGAATTTAATTTAAAGTCGAAACCAAGGTTAAGTTGTAAATGCACACAAGGTGCATCAAGTATGCATACGTACACGCACTCGTGCACGCATGCCGTGTGTGCAGCTCCGCACGCGAACGCGCGCTGCGCGCATTGCCGCGCATAGCGCATGTAGCACGCGCCATTAGGCACTAAGCACACGCTTATAATCTTTTAAGCACTATGATCAAATTCAAGTAATCCCATCATTAAGCTTTCAAGTTGCCGTGAAAATTTTACCAAGGATAAATGTTGGGGTGCAAGTGGCTAGGATGACTCACCTACTTGCTTGGACACATGGCCCAAGCGTAGCTTACGTGTGATGACAAGGCACGTGCATGCGTGCCACCTCGGTGATGACTAAGCCGAGCATAGACACCTCATCGTTCACGGCCGAGACATGTGGCATCAAAAGAGAAATCCTCATCTTTCACCTCCTTTGACTTAAGATTAATCTCTCCATTTTCACGCTCTTTTAAATAGCAAAGGCCTTGCGTTTTTCATGCACTTTTGATGCAAAAAGCCGAAACCAACTTCAGCATATTTGAGGGAGAAAATAGTGAGGAAATATTAGTGGAAAATTATAGAAAAATAGCTAGGGAAAGAGGAAGCAAAGGAGAAGAAAGAACGTACGCAACCGAGCACCAAACACGCACGCACATCATCGTACACTCTTCGACCAAACTGAAGGGTATACATTTCTTTACCCTCTTTTTATGTAGTTAAGTTCATATCAGCGAGGTCATGTCAAAATCATGTCGATCAATTTAGGTTTTGTATGAAAATGGCCTCGGAGATGCTAGATAAGCTCCCTCTGAGTGATTTCAAAATAGAACCGGCAAGTCCCGAGTAATCTATGTATTTTCCGTCATTTTAAGTCAAAACATAATCAGTCATGTATAGGTTGCCGAAAAAAGTAGCCAAACGACCGGCGAAACGCCGACCGTGATACCTACCGCACACGGTGTGCACGCAGGCACGCCCGGCAGGCCTAGCGAGTATGCAGGCAGCGTCCGTGCGCCCAGTAACGCACACGCGTGCCCAGTACTCGCAGTCCAGCCCTTGCGATGCCGCAGTCATGCGCATAGACGCTCGGCAGCGCACGTCTCTGTTCACCCGCGTATGCCACACCGCAGCAAGCACCCAGCAGCATGTTCTGTGATGCTAGTACGCACGCCAGCAGCGTACCACGCACGCTGGCCAGTCACCACGCACGCCAGCACGCCCAGCAGCGTGCCAGCTATGCTCAGCGGGCCTC